ATATATGATTATAATTCACATACTGATTCCTGGTCTGTTTGTGAGGTCCTGAGGAACAAGAGGATACCAATCTAAGGACACTCTGTACATATGTGGTTGATTACAAACTGGAATTTGTTTGTTTTAGGGTAATTATGCACTTTATATATAGTTTGCAGTGATATGTATAACATTTAAATTTTTATTTTTTTTTCTCTCACATGAGTGCTGTGACACTGGAGTGTTTTTTTTTTTTGCATGATACACGTGTGGCACTTTAGTTCTGGGATTTAAAAGGTAATATACTATGTTGAGATTTTGTTTTTTGAGGTATTTGAAGAGCACCTGTGATTGATTTGCATCTTCTTCAGTGGAGTAGGAAGCGTCTTCCTATCAAGAAATTGATCTTTGTTTGGACACATTATTTGGACACTTTGCATATTGGGACTTTATTTATTTTTGTTCTTTTATATATATTTGATATTTTTTTATTTTTTGGGTAATCTCTTTGGGTTTTGATCTTTTCACTATAATTGTGGGTTTTTGGGTTTAAGTCAATGAATATATATTCCATTAAATAACATGCCTTGGGAATGCCCTGCCCCTTCCTGGGAAGTGACCCATCTGTTGGATGTTTACAACCTATTGCAGCAAAATTTACATTTATAAAAAAAAAAATGTGCTTAAATTGCTGGTAAAATGACAGCTCCTGTTTGTAAACAGAGTGAATAGGGAATTCCCTTCAGCTAGACCCTTCAGGTCTGGTATGAATTTTACGGTGGAAAAAAACAAACCAAACAATGCATGAGGTCCTCTCAAAATCTACACCAAACCCTTGGGATCTGGTATGGATTTTAAGGTGGAACCCCACACAAAAATCAAGAAACAAATTGTGAGGTGTGAGGTGTGACGGTACGCGGCGTTAGACCCCAGCCCTTCTCATCAACTTGTGACCAAAGGACCAGCCGATCTCAGACCGCGCTGTCACTTGCGTAACAATGCCACTTTCAGCTGCGCCCTGCACAAAGATTTTCCAGCTCGGGGACCACAATCTATATGCCAGCAGCCTGAGAGCGATTGTTACTGGGTCAGGTTAATTACCCAATTAACCCTTCACACTGCCACCACCGCCTTTTTACAGAGAAGGAGGAAACTCCCAAATCTTAGCAGTAACACTATGATATTAGAATAAGCATCTGTAACACACTGTCACAGCAGACAGATGTATTCAGAGGATTAATACAGTAGAACTCCTCAGAGACAGGGATTCTTTTAGTTTGCATTAAGAGCTTTAGAGACAGTTTCAATGCTCTTCAGAAAATAGGATTTATTACTAAAAAGGTCAAAATGGTGCAATTAAAATATTTACAGAAAAAGATGTAATATATATATATATATATATATATATATAAAAAGAGAGTAATAAAACAGAGAAATAAAAGAAAGAAGTTTCAGAAGGCAGAATACTTGCAAAAGTCTTTGGTTTGAGTCCTATTGTCCGAACAAAAAGGTTGCCTTTCTCCCAAAGATGGTTCCTGATATTAAAAGGGAGAGATCTTACTTTTCTCTCAGGCTGTCAGTCTTTTCCTATTCTCTCAAAGGGGTGTCTCCTGAGAGCAAATATCCAATCGCCTCATTTGGGGATGGGTGTTAGGTGGTGACCAAGGTTATAACTGTCAGGAATGGACTTGCCAGTAATGGTGGGACTCACCTGCCTTGTGGGCTGCAGTACCAGGGCTGGCCAGCGGGTGCTCCCAGCAATCAGAGACTCAACCCTGCAGCCAGCCAAACACCTGAAGCTGATTATGCAGGTGTATTTAAGGGATGGCCAGACCTGCAGTCTGCGCCTTGGTGTGTGTTTTCCTGGGCCCCTGTATCTTGTTACCTACATCCCTGTTCCTGTTCCTGTCCCTATCTGGACCTCTGCTGACTTCTCCTGTTTGATCCCTGGCTTGTGACCCCGACCATTCTCTGCCTGACCCCCTGTACCTACCTGCCCGTTAGTTGCTGTACCCGGCTCGTGACCTGACTACTCTCTGCCTGCTCCTCCTGTTCCTACCTGCCTGATTGTTATTGACCCGGCCTGCCTGACGACGCTTGCATTGTATGTATTGTTATCTGTCGGTGGTTTGGTTTGGTTCGTTTGCACTGTTATGTTTTAGTATTGCACTGCGTTTATGTATTGTTAGTGTTAATAAATTATATTGTTTATAACACATCTGGAGCCTGTGTTTCCCTGCGCCAGTTCACATACCTCTGGTCATACCCTGGAGCCCTGACATTACACCAAGGCCAATCCTGACCAGAAGTGGCTGCACAGGGAAGCCATCTTGGCTTGTTGCTGGGAAGGATGGATCTTGATGAGGTTGTGTATTTATCTCTGCTAGTGTTTGATGACAGGGATTATGCTTATCAGACTCTGAAGGAGTATACCCGGGATCAACTGCTAGAATGTATATGGATCGCTCATTGCCTAGTAGATCAGGGCACAGAATTCTCTGAGGTGCAGCCATTGATTCAGGTTTGTGCTGAGTTGGTTTCATCTGGTACCCCCAAATGCAGAAATGAATTTTTGCCGCCATTTAGTGCCGACCAGGTAGAGTCCCTGGTATGGTTATTAGAGGATGATTACTTTCTGGAGCATTATTCTGCATGTTCACCTCAGGTACTAAGAGATTGTATAAACGCAGTGCAGTCTTTGACCAGACAGGCTTTGTGTAAGCTGAGCTTTGTTCAACCCATACTGCAGACATGGTCAGACTTGTTGCACCCAGCCTCAGTCAGCTTACAACATCATTCCTCCGCTCAAGGCACTCTTCCTACATCCCCGACAGCACCCCCAGTGACTGCCCAGTATACTCTGACTACCACATATCAGTCCTCTGTTCCCACTCGCTGCACCTATCCTTTCTTTAACCCTGTAAAGAAGTCCTCTGTAGCAACTGCTCCCTCCTCTGTTCCATCCTCCCGCTTTCCTCTGTCCCCAGCTGCTCCATTTGTTTGCAGACCTGCATTTACTTGCAGTGCTCCAGTAGTTAAAACCAGAAAAAAGCGAAAATTCTTTCCAACCAGTACCATCCTGCCAGTATCCAAACCGGTGAGCCTGCCGTCTGAGAACCTGCCACCCGCACTTCAGCCTGATGCTTCTACCCAGCCTGATGCCTCTACCCAGCCTGATGCCTCTACCCAGCCTGATGCCTCTACCCAGCCTGATGCCTCCATTCAGCCTGATGTCTCTACCCAGCATGATGTTTCTACCCAGCCTGATGAACTGATCCAGCCTGATGATCCTATTATGCCAGTTGACTCGATGCCCGCTGTCGATCCAGACAATCCGGTACCTGATGACCCAGTGCCCGCTGTCATGCCTGGTGACCCGATGCCCACTGTCGAGCCAGACAATCCAATGCCAGATGACCCAGTGCCTGCTGTCGAGCAAGACGATCTGGTACCTGATGACCCGGTGCCCGCTGTCGTGCCAATTGACTCAGAGCCCACTGTCGTGCCTGGTGACTCAGTGCCCACTGCCTTGCCAGATGACGCGGTGCCCGCTGTCGAGCCAAATGACCTGATGCCTGGTGACCCGATGCCCGCTGTCGAGCCAGATGATCCAATGGCTGACCCAGTGCCCGTGGTCATGCCAGTTGACTCGGAGCCCACTGTCGTGCCTGGTGACTCGGTGCCCACTGCCTTGCCAGATGACACGGTGCCCGCTGTCGAGCCAAATGACCTGATGCCTGGTGACCCGATGCCCGCTGTCGAGCCAAATGACCTGATGCCTGGTGACCCAGTGCCCTCTGTCATACCTGGTGACCCGATGCCCGCTGTCGAGCCAGACAATCCCATGCCTGATGACCCAGTGCCCGCTGTCATGCCTGGTGACCCGATGCCCGCTGTCGAGCCAGACGATCCAACGCCAGATGACCCGGTGCCCGCTGTCGATCCAGACGATTCGGTACCTGATGACCCGGTGCCCGCTGTCGTGCCAATTGACTCAGAGCCCACTGTCGTGCCTGGTGACTCGATGCCCACTGCCTTGCCAGATGACCCGGTGCCCGCTGTCGAGCCAAATGACCTGATGCCTGGTGACCCGACGCCCGCTGTCGAGCCAGACGATCCAATGTCTGACCCAGTGCCCGTGGTCATGCCAGTTGACTCGGAACCCACTGTCGTGCCTGGTGACTCAGTGCCCACTGCCTTGCCAGATGACGCGGTGCCCGCTGGCGAGCCAAATGACCTGATGCCTGGTGACCCGATGCCCGTTGTCGTGCCTGATGACCCGGTGCCCGCCGCTCCGCCTGGGGGCCCGGTGCTTGCCATCCCTCCTGGGGGCCCGGTGCCTGCCATCCCTCCGCCTGGGCGCCCGGCGCTCCGCCTGGGCGCCCGGCACTCCGCCTAGGGGCCCGGTGCCCGCCGCTCCGCCTGGGGGCCCGGCGCCCGCCGCCCCGCCTGGGGGCCCGATGCCTGTCGCCCCGCCTGGGGGCCCGATGCCTGTCGCCCCTCCTGGGGGCCCGGCGCCCGCTGCTCCGCCTGGGGGCCCGGCGCCCACCGCCCCGCCTGGGGCCCGATGCCTGTCGCTCCGCCTGGGGGCCCGATGCCTGTCGCCCCTCCTGGGGGCCTGGCGCCCGCCGCTCCACCTGGGGGCCCGGCGCCTGCCGCCCCGCCTGGGGGCCCGATGCCTGTCGCTCCACCCGGAAGCCCGGTGCCCGCCGCCCCTCCTGGTGGCCCGGCACCCGCCGCTCCGCCTGGGGCCCGATGCCTGTTGCCCCTCCTGGGGGCCCTCCGCCCCCCGCCCCGCCTGGTGGCCCTGCTTCTTCGCCTGGTGATCCGATGTGCCTCTGCCCGGAGTCCTGCCCGATGTGCCGCTGCCCGGAGCCCTGCCCGATGTGCCGCTGCCCGGAGTCCTGCCCGATGTGCCGCTGCCCGGAGTCCTGCCCGATGTGCCGCTGCCCGGAGTCCTGCCCGATGCGCCGCCACATGTTTTAGTATTGCACTGTGTTTATGTATTGTTAGTGTTAATAAATTATATTGTTTATCCCTGCGTCAGTTCACATACCTCTGGTCATAACCTGGAGCCCTGACAATAACCAAATCCCTTACAAGTTCATACTATGGTCAATAACCTTCAGTAGGTACAGGTAACATCCTAGCGACTGGCAGATTAATATTTAGAATCATATTCCAAATGTACAGATACTAAACTGTAGCATATCCTGCCACTCTGGATAAAAAATATTGCTTTCTACCCTCTTGTAGGCGCTACCTATGGATGTAAGGTGTCATGTGACTCATATTAAAATGACCTATCCGAATATATACTTTATATTAATGTGCCCAGTTCCTGCTGACGTTTATGAATATGTATGAAAAAATGACTCATGTGGGATGTACGTTTTATGGCACCCTCTGCTGTATTGCTTACAGGTCATGACCGACTGAGTTATGGTTTTACGACCGGGCATAGGAAAGTGGTTGTCAAGCAGACATTCTGGAACCAGGCTAATTAGGGATTACAACCATGGAGCTTATTCAGCTGTGCCTATGCACTTTTGACCCCCCTTCACTACAGACTCACATTCCATTCAGAAGGGGGGGGAATTATGAGACTCATGAGACAAAATGGTAGACCTAACAAAATGATTGCCAGCGTCCCTGTCCCTATGTGCACAATGGCCACATGAGGTTCTTCCAAAGATCAACTGCATGTGTTAACTGCAATGAACTGGATAGAGTGAAGAAAGGATAGACCCTTTCAACATCTGTATTCCTGTCTCTTCTGGGTAGATTTGACTCTCGGGGGTTGATTTACTAAAGGCAAATAGACTGTGCACTTTACAAAAGGCAGTTGCAGTCTGCAAGTGCATTTACTCCAGAGCTTATTAAATGAGGTACAGCTTCACTTTGCAAAGAATACCCAATCAGGTGTAAAGAAAATTAAAAAAAACAGCATTTTTGCTTGCACTTGATTGGATAATGGAAGTTAGCCGAGCTTCTGCTCATTTATTAAGCTCTGGAGCAACTGCTCTTGCAGAGTGCAACTGCACTTTGCAAAGTGCACAGTCCATTTGCCTTTAGTAAATCAACCCCTCTGTCTTTCTTGTGCCCATTGTTACAGAGAAGTGGAGAGTTGTCATGGGATCAGGAGGGCAGAGGAAAATGTCCAAAGGGACAAATGTTCAGATAAAAAAAATATCTACAACTATCTAAGGGTCCTTTCATATGGGCGTTCCATTTTCTTTATTAGTTTAGTCACATTTTTTTCCAAGAAAAAACGTATCAGTTCACATCAGTTTTTCATCAGTTTACATCCTTTACCAAACCAAAAACAGATTGTATGTCCGTTTTACATCCATTTTTCATCCGTTTACATCAACTTATGTCCGTTTTTAATCCGTTCCACTTTTTTTTTATGGAAGAAAAATAGGGTTTTCTTCCGTTCAAAAAATGGATGATCATCCATTTACATCCGCTAGTCCACAGAAATACATGGGTGTCTGTTTTTCATCCGTACACGAACAGATGAAAAACGGACATACAGAACACCGTGTGAAAGGAGCCTAAGATTACAATTCCCTTCCCTTGGGTAGATTTCTTGGGAGAGTACATGTGATCAGCACAGGGCTAATCAGCACTGTCCAGACAGAGGTCAGGGGTCCTGCATCCTCCTAGAGCAGAAAGAAAACTTCTTCTACAAGCTTTAACTAGTGCTCTGCTGAACACTGATAGAAGCCACAAGACTGTTCTAACTTCTGATGAGAAAAGGTATTTAGCAGTTTATGTTTACTAAAATAATTGCATTTCCATGCTCTGTGTACTGTGAGAGACCAGATATAGTGAATGCAGGGTCCTAGGGTTTAGTAACATTTTAACCTCATGCATACCATCTTTTCCCTGTATCTTAACAGGCACAGGGTAAAAATATGTGAAAAAAGTACAATAACCAGTTGAGCACACTGGATGTGCCACAAATGCCCCAAAAAATGTTATAGTACTCAGGTCCAGTCCTTCTCCCCCTCTGCTGCATCCCCCCCTCCCAATTGCCGACAATTCTCAGCTCTGAAAAAGAAGCCAGAAGTTGTTGTAGAAATACAACAGCTCTAGCAGCTGCAGCTGTCAAAAATACTGTCTGACTCAGTGTTTAACAACACTGTTTACATGGAAAATAAATAGATACAAAGTAACACTGTATTATTGCATCTACTTTAATTTATCTGCAGATCAGGGACGAGCTTCATTCTACAGATGATGTCAGTTAAAGCAACCTAAGAAGAAAAAACGTTGTTTTTTTTGTACATAAGATGTCCCTATTAAACCCTTAATTATCCCTTAGAGCTGATTCACACATGTGCGGTGCGGATTGAAGCTCAGGTTTCACAGTTATTGATACAGTAGTTGTTCAGCATTTCATGTCAGGTTTACATCAGGCTCAGGACAGGATTAGCTCTCAGGAATATCCTGTTCACACATATGTGGTTTAGAAACGGTTCCCAATGGAAGTCCATAGCCTGTAATTCACACCTGAACCGCATCGCACTGCTCAGAAATCGGACATGACTCGTTTTCAAACTGCACTGAATCCGTACTGCCATTGCACAGGACATATGTAAACAGGCACCATAGGAAGTGATGTTTTTTCACAGGTCATGTGGAATGGATGCAGTTCAAACTGCATTCAATTTGCATATATGTTTCTCAACTCCAGTCCTCATGGACCCCAACAGGTCATGTTTTCAGGATTTCCATTATTTTGCACAGGTGATTTGATCAGTTTCACTGCCTTAGTAATTACCACAGCTGTTTCATCTGAGGGAAATCCTGAAAACATGACCTGTTGGGGGTCCATGAGGACTGGAGTTGAGAAACACTGGTTTAACCTAATCAGTCCTAATGAATTCCTTCTTCCACTTCTACCTTCAACTATTTTGTTCCTGGTGGGGATTTTTTCTAATCCTACAGAAATATCCTTCAATAATTAAACTTTTTTTCTATTTTATTTGTTTAGTTGTTCTTTTTTTAGTGTCACACTGTTTCTTTTGTAAATGACTTTGCAAAGATTTGTACCAGATTCATAACTGTAGTGTCATTTCAAACAAGACAAATTACAGAATGCACTGGGTTTTTTTTTAATTCTATAGAAACATATTTTTAATATTTTATCATTTCAAAACTCTGGTCAAAAAGCAAAAAAAATACTTTTTGCTTTTAGTTTTGTTAGCTTTCGTCTTTACTTATTTGTTTTTAGTTTTTTTTAGTTAATTTTTGCAAGACATTATCACAAAAAGCAAGTAAAGAAAAATGTATTGTTAACCTCTTCACGCCAGCCGAACGCAAACGTGCGGCCTCCTGGCGTCTGGACCTAGACGCCGAGCTGCCACACATTTGCGTTCTATTAAAAAAGAACATATGTGCTGAGAGCGCGGACACTGCACGCTTCCAGCACACGTCCGGTACTCATGGAAAGGTCCACATCTCCTCTTTCAATATGGACCTTTCTCGATCATGTGACCGCCGTGACACACCGTCACGGCGGTCACATGACCCTAAACCCCGCCCGCCTCCCGGCTTCTTAAACCCTTAAAGGGCCGGGAGGCGCCAGCGTGAAGGGGTTAAATAAACCATTCCATGGCAGAAATATAAAAACTGCTCTGGTCCATAGGAGGTGTACAGGAGTGGGAAGGGTGCAACACCATGTTTATATGCCTTGATTGTAAAAC